GTTTGCAATGAACAAGTCGTTGGTCTTGCAAAATTCTACCATACGAGTTCCAGCATTATTTCTGTCATCAAGGCCAAATTTTCCAACTAATAATTAGCTTTATTTCCCCAAAATGTAATCTAAAATCTCCCCTATACAGGTACCTATTCTATATTTCATCCTAAAAGAAAATCATGCCTAAATTGATAAAATTCCTAAAAGTAATCATTTTGTACTTCTGTAATCTTGGGTCATTGATCCTATCCCCACTCCAGTTTCTATATCTGAAAGTTCAGGGAATTGTTTTAGATGTTGTTATGGATTGAATTATGTTCCCCAAAAATATGTGTTGTAAATCCTAACCTCTCTGCCTGTGGTTATGATCTCATTTGAAAATGGATTGTCTTTGTATGTCAAGAGGCAGGATTAGTGTAGGGTGTATCTAGAGTCAATCTCTTTTAACATATAAAAGAGATTAAACAAGGAAGGAGAAGAAGGACGAGGGAAGATGGATGTCAAGTCACTTGAAGATCACTCAGGAGCAGAAGTTCAAAGAGACAAGGACCTTCCTCTAGAGCCAAAAGGGAAAGAAACATTTTCCTAGAGTCTGCATCCTGAATTTGACTTCTAGCCTTGTCTGTCAGTTTGTCCTAGTGTGGTGGCTTCTGTGTTTCTGTGATGTAGGAAGCTATGCCTCCAGCATTTCAAATACCAGCAGGGTCACTAATCGTGGACAGATTTCAGCAGAACTTCAAGACTAAGACAGACTTGGAAGAAGGACTTGACAATATACTTCTAAACAAATTGGCCAGTGAAAACCTCATTAGACAGGACAGTGCTTTGTTCTGCTGGACATAGGGTTGCTGTGAGTCAGAAGTGACTCAATGGCACCTAACAACAAACAACTACAGCCTCCTGAACTGTGAGAAAATAAACTGCTGTTTGTTAAATCCAACCACTTATGATATGTCTGTTAGAGCAGCACCAGGTAACTAAGGCAGATGTGTTTAAAATCTGTTTTAAAAGGTCCCATTCTGTAATAAACTGTAGTACTACCAGCACTGTATTCCTCATGCATCAGGAGTGACTTAAAAACCAGTTGCAAGGGAGTTCAGCAAGATGACAGAATAGGTAGACAAGCTACAACAGAGCAGTGAGAAACCAGTTGAAACCAATACAGAAGATGATCCTATAACCCTGAGCTTTGAAGGCAAGGATAAAAAGAAGTGGATTAAATACTAAATAGTAGAAGAACATGAATGAAAACAGTGAGGAAGGAGACAAGCAGAGCTGTGAACTGCTGGCTGTCTTGAGGGCACAGCCGTTTTTTAATGTTTCCCAGTAACAACCTAAGAATCAGCTCTGCTCACTAAAGACTGCATGGGCAAGGACTGCATTGGTGCCTGACAACCAGAAATGAAAACAGCAAAGAAGGAGACAAACAGACCTGTGGACTGCAAGCGGCTTTCCTGAGGTGCAGCCATTGTGAATATTTGCAAGCAGTGAGCACCAACATATTGCATATATGGAGGTGTCCTCACATAGGAGTAAGCTCTGCTTGCTGAGGACAGCACAGGTGTCCACACTGGGGGATGATGACTAGAAAGACATTAAACATAAATAGAAGACCACCACAATGTCTCGGATACAACAGACCACCACAGTCCACACAAAGAAGCAAGATAAAATAGTGGAAACGAGGCACTATGATACAAACACAGACAGTATCCCTGAGGAAGAAGCAGCATTGTAATTCTCTGATAAGGAATTCAAAAGAATTGTTTATGAATACCTTCAATGGGTTGAGAGACAAATCAAGGAATACACTGACAAGATCAAGGAAAAGACAAAACTAAGGAAAATAGAAAAAAAAAAAACCTCTAGAACAATATAGGAAAACAATATAAGAACAAATTGACAAAATGAATGAAAAATTAGAAATGGTACAAAAACAACAAATAGAAATCCAGAAGACTAATACTAAGATTTCAGAAATAGATAACACATTGAATGGGCAAAGGAGTAGCATCAAACTAATGGGAGACAGAATTAATGAGACTGAAGACAAATACCTCAATATTCCTTTGTTAAGGGATCAATCAGACAAAAGATTAAAACAAAATGTAGAAAGCATAAGATTCATGTAGGATATTATCAAGAGGAATAACCTACATATAATCAAAATTCCAGAACAGGAAGAGACAAAACTACAGAGAAAAAGTTGTCCGAGATTCGTTGGAAGAGAACTTCCTTAATATGGCGAAAGATAAGAATATATCCATTCAAGTTCAACAAACCCCAAACAAGATAGACCCCAAAAGAAAATCACCAAGACATATCATAATCAAGTTCACCAAAACCAAAGACAAAGAAAGAATCCTGAAAGCACCACAGGAAAAATGAAAAGTTACCTATAAAGGGCAACCAATAAGACTAAGCTTGGATTTCTCAGCAGAAACCATGCAGGCAAAAAGGCAATGGGATTATATATATAAAATCCTGAAAGAAAAAAAAATATTTCCAACCAAGAATTATATAAAACCCAAACCCACTGCCATGGAGTCAGATCTGACTCATAGCAACCCTTCCTTGGGTTTCTGAGGTGGTATCACTACGAAAGTAGATTGTCCAACTTTCCTTCTGGGGAGTGGTTGGTGGGTTTGAACCACCACCCTTCTGGTTAGCAGTCAGTGCCTTCGGAACTATGCCACCAGAGCTACTAAGAACCTAGCAAAATTGTCCTTCAAATATCCAGGTGCAATTAGATTTCCAGATAAACAGAAATAAAGGGAATTTGTTAAAAACAGACCAACCTTACAAGAGATGCTAAAGGGAGTCCTTTGGACAGAGAACCAACAGCAGCAAACAACTGATGATTAACACATATGATGATATAACCCAGAAACCAATCTTGTTATAGAGGTATCCAAAGTAAAATAAGCTTACAAGACTGTAAACAGGGAACTAGAGATATCAATTGGTAAATGAGAATGACTACAAACCAAACAGAAGGAATAAATAGTTACAGAATTTGTAAATGGTGATGAAGTAAACACAATTGTGTGATAGAAAAGACTGTTTTAAACTTGGAAAGAAAATAATAAATCACAGGGTAACCTCAAAGAAAAATAACAAACCTTTGTATCAAAATAAAAACCAGCTGCTCTTGAATTGATTCCGACTGATGGCAACCCCATGTGTGTCAGAATAGAATTTGCTCTGTAGGATTTTCAATGACTCTTATTTCAGAAGCAGCTTGCTTAGCTTCTCTTCCGAGGTACCTCTGGGTGGGCTCAAGCCTCCAGCATTTTGGTCAGCATCCAAGAGCTTTAACATCTGCACCAACCAGGCCTCCAGTAGTGGTTGACCTGGAGCGATTTGAAGAGTTTGGATTGGTATCACTGTATAAATGTCTTCCCTGTTAGTTTCTGTTTCTAGCCCTAATCTTCCCTCTAGGATAGATTTGTTTGTTCAATGCATATACAGAACCATGAGCTATTATTTAAAAAAAAAAACAAACTCACTGCCATGGAGTGGATTCCAACTCATAGCAACTCCCATTGGGTTTCCGAGGCTGTAAATCTTTACGGAAGTAGATTGCCCTATCTTCCGTCCATGGGGCAGCTGGTGAGTGTGAACCGCTGACCTTTTGGTTAGCAGCCAAATGCTTTATCCACTATGCCACCAGAGCTCTGTTTTGAGCTATTTTTAGCCATGAGTTAATTTTTCACTAATCTGAAGAAGTGGACACAGAGCAGACAAGTTTTATTGAGGTTTGGGTGCCATAGTAAGCGTCCTTAAGTAGCTGAAGCAGTAAAAATGGTCTACTTGACAATTTTCCTTCAGTTGAGACCTGACTCAATAGTTGCTGACTAAAACAAAAACCACCTGAAACAAAAGTGTGGTGTAATAAAAAAAAATATTGGGGGTAAGTGTATGTGCAAAAAATCCTCTGTACACTTGAGATTTGTGCATTTTACTGTATGAAAATTAGATTGCAATTTAGAAACATGAAAATAAAGCATATTAGAATTAGAATAATGAGATCCACTCAGATTTTTAGTGTCAATGCTACATATGACCTTGAACCCTAAACTTAACAGTATTTGTATAACAACAACAAAAAAAAAACCTCACTGTTGTCGAGTCAGATCCAACTCATAGTAACCCTTCCTTGGGTTTCTGAGGTGGTGTCACTACAGACATAGATTGCCCAACCTTCCTTCTGGGGAATGGCTACAGTAAAATATATTAATAATATCTGTAAACCACATAATACTTTCAGTTCTAGAGTTAAAGCAGAAATTCACCCCTAACCTCGAACATACTAATTGATTATTTTGCTCTTTATTTATAAATTTGTGAAGGATAAGATGATAAGTATTTTTCACTCATAATAGTTTTGATGTAGTAAAGATTTAGAATAACAGAAAGCATTTTACAAAGTAAACTCAATGTATTTTACAAAGTAAACTCAATGTTTTCTCTGTATGTGGTAATGACATTAAGTACACTGTTTAGTAGAAAATTATAACCTACTAGAACTCAGTGCTCTGGGAGTGCTAATAGGTGTTTATGAATGTTAACAATCTTGTTTAATAATTTCCAGCTTGCTATTCAAATATCCAAAGATGGGCTACCAGGCAGTGTGCCATTATGGGTAATCCTGTTGAGTGCTTTTGCTGGATTATTGCTATTAATGCTGCTCATATTAGCCCTGTGGAAGGTAAGCACCAAAGTTCCTTAGACTTTCTATTTCAATCATCAACAACCAATTGAAAATTTATGATGCATCCATGCTGTGGAATACAGTATTGTGCTGCTATACTGCTAGAAAAAACCATTGAAATGATGGCCAGCAAAAAAAAAAAAAAAAAGTATATTTCAAGCATTATGAAAACTTTCTATATTTCTATATTTGTAAAAGAAAAAAAGAACACATCACATTTTGAACTACGCTCTTCTCAAAATCATGGAGGATCATTTAGTGGTTGGAATTATATAGGACTTTTCGTATATCTTTAACACTTAAAATTTTAATATAATTATGTGCTACTTTTATAATCAGAGAAGAATGAAAAATGTATTTTGTAGATAGAGGAAATAATGGACTCCTGTGTCAATTTAAGGGCATATAGGCAGTTGATTCATAGTTAAAGTAAGCTTTACCCTAATCACACATCTCTGTGTTTTGTAAAATTGAAATGCTTGCTTTATATACCATCTTTAATGCAATAGTGTGTCCCTTGACTGGAGACTTGATTTAAAGAATTTACAGTCTCAGAGTCCTATATAAAATCCATATGTCAAATTGAGTAGCCATCTATTTTCTGTCCAATAAATTTGGGTGTTTTTGTAGGTATTTTGCTTGAATTAAAGTCTGAAAGATTTTTCAAACCCTTAGCTGAATCATTTTCAATGAACAAAACTGAGATAGTCACTTTTAGGATAAATTTAATAGGGAATAAAATCCCACTAAAAAAGTTGAATTTAAAACTTTTCCAATTAAACATCAAAACCAAGAATCCAAACTCACTGCAATTGAGTTGATTCTAACTCATAGCAACCCCTGTTGGGTTTCTGAGGCTATGAATCTTTGCAGAAGTAGTTTGTGCCATCTTCCTTCCCTGGAGTGGCTGATGGGTTTGAACAACTGGCCTTCTGGTTAACAGCCAAGTGCCTTATCCATTATGCCACCAGAGCTTTTTAAACATCATGTTGGCCACTATTCTAGTATAGTAACATCTTATATTTTGCCTGTTACTTTGTTAAACAGGTAAACTATGTTAAAAATACAGATTGTGACTGTTGTTGTTATTGTGTGCCGTCGAGTCGGGCCTGACTCATAGCGACCCCTCCTTGGGCTGACAAGGCGGTATCACTACAGAAGTAAATTTCCCAACCTTCCTTCTGAGGAGTGGCTGGTGGGTTTGAACTGCCAGCCTTCTGGTTAGCAGTCAAGTGCCTTAGGCACTATGCTACCAGAGCTCCATTTTTGTAATACCTGAACAACGCAATTGTCTTTTATTCAAATAATTTAAATTGTAAATTTCCTCCTACTGAATTACCTAGTCTTTCTAACTCTTCTATAATAATTAAATTATAATTTTTGGGGAATTACTATCTGAGGAGATGAGCGAACGCATCTTAAAGATGTAGGTTAGTAGCATTTAGTTCAATAAATGGAAACCATAGCTTTTCTCCAATGAAGCCCCAAAACAAGATTTCTTCACCATATCAAAAGCCCAGGATTCTCATAGTCACGAGATACCAACGCTCTCTCTGTAATACCTGACTTTGCCACACTGTGGTACCCAAAGCCTAGCTTTTTGGTGTCAAGGTTGTGCTTCAAATATAGAATGTGGCCTCTTTGTTTACTTGTAGCTCTAATAGAGTGGTGCTGCTTACTGCTTTCAGTATGCCTTTTATTCTAGCACTGAACTTTCCTGTGTAACTTTAGTACACCCCTGACAAGAGAAGAGGAGAAAACAGAGCTGATACTTGCATAGCTCTCCCTGGCCTTTGTACCACTGTTTAAAACAAGCAAATGCAACATTTTGCTCGCTTTTTTTTTCCCCCCGGTCACTAGTCTGAAAAAGCATAAGTATAACGATAAACACATTCTTCCATTCAGCAAGTTGTTGATAAATTTTTACGGATTTGTAGATTGTCTTTATTGGCCCAAAGCAAGGTTATTTAACAAATGTTTGGACTACCCTGACCAGTAGGTAGTGTTTAGCCACTTCCATGGGAGATCTAGCAATCAGAACTCAGGTTCCAAAGCAGAAGGAAGGGAGCTAAGACACTGAGTGTTTACTGTGTGCCAGAACCATCTTAAGCATTTCCATACTGTCTCATTGAAAACACACAACAACTTTATGAGGTAGACACTATCATAAACCTCATTTTGTAAATGGGGAACATGAGGCATAGAAAAGTTGAGGTTTCCCAGGCCATATGGTTAGTAAAGTTTAGAACAAGGATATGAATTTGGGCCATTTTACTCAGCACCCACACTACTAACCCTTTACTGTGTGTTCTCTCTTGCTTCATTCACTTTGATATCCTTACAAAAGCCTTTTTTTCAACTAAGTCTTTTAACTACATCTTATACTCAAGGACATAGAAGCAAGGAGAAATTAAGTAACTCTTCCAACATTAACGGCCACCGGCCACTTCTCGGAAGGAAGGTTGGGCAATCTACTTCCGTAGTGATACCACCTCGGAAACCCAAGGAGCGGTCGCTATGAGTTGAGCCCGACTTGATGGCACACAACAACAACAACAACAACAATATGACTGGATTCAAGCAATAACCTACTTGCAAAGCCCTGTTCCTTCCCAGTATATCCTACCGCTGCAGGCTTTGTGACTGACTCTTTACCCTAGAGCTACAGGAATTGGGTTTTGCTCCAGAAAGTCAAGAGCTCTCTGAAATATGCAGAAATATTTGGTTTCATAAAGAAAACCTGTTTGGACTCATACTTTTAGCAGGCTCTGTTCTACTGAAAAGCTTATCCCCTATGCCTGCTTTGAAGCTGTGTGTGTTGTTTCTACCACTTATCTGTTAGTTTGTTGTACTGTGGTGGTTTGTGGGTTTCTGTCATGCTGGAAGCTATACCACTGGTATTTCAAATACCACTAGAGTCACCCAAGGTGGACAGATTTTAGCAGAGTTTCCAGACTGAGACAGACTAGGAAGAAGTATGTGGCCAGGTTCACTTCTGAAAAGAATTGTCACTGAAAACCTTATGAATAGCAGGGATATAGGTCAATGACTGTTTGATAGAGGACAATGAGCTAGAGGAACTGGGTGTTGTCCAAGAGGGTCACCAACTCTCTGAAACATACAAAAATATTTGGTTTCATAAAGAGGGTCCCTGGTTGGATTCAGACTTTCATCAGGCTCTGTTCTACTGAAAAGCTTTCCCCATGCTGGCTTTGACGCTGTGGAGGGCCTCCCCTGAGACAGGCATTCAGTCTGCAGTAGGTACACAGCTCATCCTCACACATCTTTGCACACTGATTAGATCTGGAGCACACACCTCAGACTATCCCTTCCTCCCTATCTTTTCTTATCCTTTTTCCAAATCCTACCATTCTGAATTGGAACTCCCTAATCTGAGACTCCATCAGGGGACAGGCCAAAGATTCCCCCTGGAGTAGTGATTAGTTTCAAAAAGCACAGCCTTTATAGCTTTATCTTCATAGGACAAAAAAAACACCAGTTGCTATTGAGTTGATTCCAATTCATAGCAACCTTGAACAGAGTAGAGCTGTCTCACAGGGTTTCCAAGGTTGTAAACTTCATGGACAAGGAGCTCTGATGGTGTAGTGCCTAAAACATTTGACTGCTAACCAGAAGATTCGTAGTTCAAACCCACCATGAGGAAGGAAGCCTGGACAATATATTTCTGTAAAGATTTACTGCCTCAGAAACCCAAAGGGGGGTCTCTCTAATTCAGAGTCGACTCAACAGCAGTGAGTTTGTTTTTTGTTTGTGGTTAAAACTTTATGAAAGCAGACTGACACATCTTTCTTCCATGGAGGACTGGTAGATTCGAACCACTGACTCTAGCACTTTAACTACTGTACCACCAGAGCTCCTGTTCATAGGACATAGGGCAAAAATTAAAGCTTGAGAAACTCTTGGTAGCTGAGGAATTAATATACTTAGTGATTGAAGGGGGACTCCCTGTAGAGGACAGAGGTTTAAATAGGTTGAGAAACATGTCCTAAAACATGGCTGCTGGTGGCTTGACTGCCATGCTGGGTGGGGTGCCCAGTATGCCAATGTAACCAATAGTGTGGAATGCAACTTCATCCACACAGGACCCCTGAGAACACTGGAAGTTCCTCTTTCGTAACTTGATCTGACACTGACACCTTAAGTTTCACCATGGTAGTTTTATTTATTCATCTTAAAGCTCTGTTCCTCATCAGATGTACATATCCTTAGTGGGTGGGTAAGAATAGCACTTTACATATTTTTAGTCTCTTATTTATTAGTATGAATTAATTCATTCAAGATTTATTTAATTAAGCACCTACCTTGTGCCAGGGACTTTAACCACCACTTTTGGTCATAAGATTTTGAACTATAAACAAACATACAAACAACTTCTGCCCTTAAGTGGGGTCCGACTCACAGTTGAGTCTGTAGGACAGAGTAGAACTGCCCCATAGGATTTCCAAGGCTACAAATCTTGTCTCATTGGTGGGTTCAAACAGCCAACGTTTTGATTCACAGCTGACTGCTTACCAGGGTTTTGAACTATGGTTGCATAACAAGGATCATTAAGAAATAGGAAAGAAAAAGAAGGAAAGCAAATACTACAAAGGAAATTTGAGGACCAAACTTTTCTTTTTTTCAGATTTCACCTAGGAATGGCTCAGTTAAATTTGGAGTTATAAAATATATGCTTCTAATATCCACTCTAATCACCCAACTTCTCTTAAGACCCCAATGTTAATAGAATTGGTTGAGTGGAAAAATTCAGATAACAGAAATTAAGTTTTAAAATAGAGCATTAAATATATGAAGGCAAAGGAAGGTTAAAAGCAGCAAACAGATTTAAGAGAGGACAGATATAAGATCAAGACCTAGGTGTTGCAACAAAGAAAAAAGTCATATAATTCACCACCTGGTTTTATGAAAGCAATGGCTGATTTATTTTAGACTCAGGACATGCAGGCACAAGTTAAAGAGGCCTAATAGTTTGTGAATCTGAGACTTACTGTCGGCTCAAAGAAAGAGGCCTGAGACGTGTAGGAGAACAGACATTCTGGGGACAACATGTTTATTATGTTTTTCATATTCATTCATCCCATTGCCACTGGGAAATTCACCACACTTTCTTCTCATCGACCACCAACTAGATCTGGACTGGAGGAAGTCAACCTTCTGAAACCTGAAAACACACACTTTTCCCATTTATTCCCTCTCAATTTTTCAAGAATTATTTTTACTAAAAATGTAATTCCATTACATAATTCATCGGATGGAGGTATCATATACATTTAAAGAATTAAATCATTGTCTTTGCTTGAACTATCATAACCCAGTCTCAACTTGTGGGAGAAAACCACACAGACACACATTTGAGGTCAATAATTGTGAAGGTTCCTTCTAGATTCATACTTTTATTGTTGTTGCTGTTGTTCTATATAAGGAGTTCTGGTGGTGCAGTACCTAAGGCATTTGACTGCTAACCTGAAGGTTGCTGGTTCAAACCCACCAGCTACTCCATGGAAGGAAGTTGGGACAATCTACTTCCATAAAGATGTACTGCTTCAGAAACCCAAAGGGGTCATAAATACATATATTTTGTGATGCCCGAAGTCACAAAGTATAATAAACTATGACTCATATTCACTACTATGTGCAATTTTTCATATATTCACTGACTTCATTTTCATATCCAAATGATGCAGAGTATTTACAAGAGATTCTTTATGTAAAGTCTGTAGGCAGATGTCCTGATGCATTTAACATTAATGCAGACCACTCAGAAATCACCCTATCACATGAGCCACAGGTGTACCAAACTGATTGACCATCAACTCTAATTGCTTCAATTTATGACCATCTATTATTTGAGGGAATTTTCTCTGCCACATCCTTAGAGAGGAAAAAAAAGATTAAATGAATGTAGAGTCAGTGCCAGCTAACTGCAGTTTATATGTCTTCCAAAATATTTTCCCAGAGCACTTTAAATTGTCTAAATAAATTTTACTAGAAGACATGGTATAGCTAACAAAAAAAGTTAAAAATAAAATAGCATTTTGTTAAATGTATCTTGAGTATCAGTACTATACAATAAATAGGTCTATATAAAAAACTCAGAATTGCCAAAATGCTGTTAAATTAAATTGTAGCCAAGAAGATTAGTATTTATTACAAAATTTCAAGTAACTAATTCTGTTATGCTTTGTATTTTCTCAACAGATTGGATTCTTCAAAAGACCACTAAAAAAGAAAATGGAGAAATGAAATATTTTACAAGAGAAAAATCATGATTTTTCAATGATCTATCCTCAGGTTTGCCTCAAATATGTGACAAGAAATATATAACTAAAGACATGGTCACATTACATTATGTAATCCATCAGGGATTCATCACTTGGAAAATAACAGATCAAGCATGGTCCAAAGCAATAGTATAAAGATATATTTTATAAGATGATGAAAGATATTTTTAAATAATTACTCATTTTTTGAGTATTTAAGCAAAATTACAGTGTTTTAGCAGGAAGACTAATCCATGCAAATATGTTTATAAATCAAATAATCATTCACAATATTTAAGGAATACATCAAAAAAAGTTGTTTGTGATCATTGAACATTTACTTTCAAAGTAATATAAACTGACCTTCCCTCCTCAATTGTTTGTGAATATCCATATTCAACATGACAGCATTTAAAAATACCAAAGATCCCTTCCCCAAACTGAAATGAGAAAAATTTGCCATGGTAAAATCCATGTACAATATGGATTGAAAATAGAATTAAATCACAGAGAATATGTTCAGCATCTTTGTGTTGGGTTCTGTCCTTGGAAATTGTTTTTTCCAAGGTATTTGGAAAATGATGCAATTTAGATGGAATTCTATCTGGGATGGAAAATCCAGAAAGACTCTTTGTTTAAAGACAAGTGCACTGAATGGATTAATTTAAGCTTTTACAGAACACTCTTACTTTTGATACTGAGCTCTGAAACTCAAAACTCTTTTATGCTGAAAAACAATTAAAGCGATTTTTATTTTATTTGTGTGGCCTAACAGTTAATTTGTCATGAAAAGCCACAATGCATGAAGGATAGGCTAAAACGGTTTCTGAACAGAACATGGCCGCCTAGATAGATGCCACTGAGATGCTACAATCATTTTTGCTTAGCAGCTTTTGAATGTTAGGGGTCCCAGGATGTAACCCGAAGTAGGAGTTTCCTCAACTTCTTGGTACATGGTTCATTTAGATCCCCAAGCTGTAAGGGTATGTTTATTTTTAATGTTTTAAGAAGATATTTAATTTTCCAAACACATGTCTTATTTTTATAAAAAGGCAGTATTCCATTTCAGTATTGCATCTTACCAAGAAGTAGCTGTTTTTGAGTATGGAATATAATTTTGTAAATAGAACCCCAGGAGTATGTGCTTCTTTATTCTTGAAGTAATCATTATGGTGCATTGGACTCTACTGTAGCAGGAACTCCTAGGTTGCTCTCTTTCTTAGGAAAAGAACAATGAATGAATGTATGGTAGCTGAATGTGTGAACTACTGCTGTAAAGTTTGCTGATAATTCTGCAACAACTTCACTGTCACAGGACCAGAACCTTCAATTATCTAGAAAATCTTGGACTCTACTTTCCTCAAAAAGCAACAAATGAAAGGAGAAAATAAATATCATGGATTGAATTTGTAGAAACTAGTTCCGGTGGAATGATCTGAAGACTCAGTCAGCCTACCTCATGGCTTTCCACATCCGTGTCTAAGCTTCTGATGGTCAAAGTGACGTCTTTGAGGAGTGCCAAGGTTATCTGTTCTTAGGAAAAAGGTGAAATGTTTCCAGAGGCTTAATGACCCCCTGCTGGCTTGTCATTGCTTAGAAATGCCCACTTTTGTTGTTGTTGTTGTGTGCCCTCGAGTCAGCCCCGACTCATAGCGACCCCTCCTTGGGTTTCCGATGCAGTATTATTACAGAAGTAGGATTGCCCAACCTTCTTTCCCAGGAGTGGCTGGTGGGTTTGAACCGCCAGCCTTCTGGTTAGCAGTCAAGTGCTTTAGCCACTATGCTTCCAGAGCTCCCCTCTGGCTCCAGATTCAGAGATTTTTCTTCCTATCTGTTCTTTCTTTGCCTAACAGAACTCAGGGTCACCATATTGCACAACTCCAGCGTATAGCCTACTCAGCAGTACACTCCATTCTTCTTACCATTCTTAGAAGGAAATGTAATAGATAAAATTAAATTCCCACTTGGCATCTATGACTGCCAGACACAGCATTCACTGAACAAGGAGTGTGCTCATTTAAACTAAATACATTTTTAATCCAAAAGGAAAACAGAGATGATGGAATTTTAAACTTTTAAGGACAGAAAGAGTTGTTTGGTCAAGACAAATAGTTATAAGCCTGACGCAATTTTTAATATGCCTTCCCTAATTATTAAGGAGAATATTTAATGAATGAGATCCTATTTCCCTAATAATTTATTAGATTTTTGCACACCTGTGTGGATGTGCATGTGGACACACACACAAACAGAATACTAAATAACATCTAATGCCAGAGTTTACAAAAAATAAACCCACAAAAGCTACACTAATAAGAAAAGTTTGATTCATTCACTTTGCATATAGTTTTCAGATTTCGCTTAAAGCTCTGCAACTATCTAAAAACCCTATATGCAGACACTCAGATTAGAAAATAAGTCAACAGATCCCCCAAACTAACTTTGTACAAATGTGCTAACATGCATTAGATGATTAAGAAATACACTAAACTCTATCATTTTATTTTCAAATATATACTAAGGAAAATGTGCAGTATTTGACACTATTTATAAACTTACTGACTAAATTGTCTAAGAACTTTGTTTTTATACTAACTTTGCTAGTTTTAAAAAATGAGTTTTTGCTTCAATTTTAAATGAATTATGCATGTAGTCCCTTAACTGACCAAACTTACCATGGTATATTGGTAAACTGCTTAACAACCAGCCTTCCAGGAAAAAGAAAAAAAAAAAAACCTGATTTGTATTATTTGCCAACTTCAGTGGTCTAAACTCTCTCACCATCCATGGCCAGATTCAGGCTACAATGTGACTCTAGCTCACAAAATTCCTGAAAATTTATCTATCAGCTCTCGTGAACCAGGATGAGCTGGCTTCTGCATATCACTGAGCAAGATAGACATTGTTGTTTGTTGTTGTTATGTGCTGTCAAGTCGGACCCGACTCACAGTGACCCCTTCTTGGGTTTCCCAGGCAGTATCTCTATGGAAGTAGATTGCCCTATCTTCCTTTTGAGGAGTGGCTGATGGGTTTGAACCGCCAGCCTTCTGGTTAGCAGTCAAGTGCCTTAAGCACTACGCTACCAGAGCTCCCAAGATAGATATTAGATATATAAATACAGATATGGCTATAGATTGTTGTTGTTAAGTGCCATCGAGTCAGCTCTGAATCATAGCAACCCTATATACAACTGAATGAAACACCACCCAGTCATGTACCATCCCACAATCCTTGCTATGCTTGAGCCCATCATTGCAGCCCCTGTGTCAGTCTATCTCATTATCTCATTGAGGGTCTTCCCCTTCTTTATATATATATATAT